AACCACTCGGCCATCCTGGTTAATGTACATTCATATAAAGCCTTAAATCAATATATATATCAATAACATGCTACAGTAAATATGATAATTAACTTGTGTTGTTGTATTTCATCTCTGTAAATCTGTTTTTGGTCATTTGCGCCGCCTTCCGTAGTTTCATTTAATATTCAGAGCTGCATAGCATTTGGTGCAGCTGTAAAGACCGACTGTTAGCATGCTAGCTGACTCACTTCCGAAAACCAAAACTCATTATTTGGTTGATAACTAGCTTAAAAGATGAAGACCGATTATATGAATTGCAATGCTTGAATTAATGCTTGCAGTTTTATAAAAAGTATTATTTGTTGCATTATCGTGATTACAGTAGTATTGTTAGCCGTCTGGTTAATAGTTAGCAAGCTAAGAGCCTGCTATGTAGTGAACACACTCAAGCTCATGACCCACTTTATCAAAACAGTTTGAGTAGTTTGCCTTTATGTTATAAGGCGTTTTTAAAAGTGAAAATATTTAAATGAACACCTTTAATAATAATTATCTATATTAATACTTTGCTAACATCAATATAACTTTGTTCATGTGAATTCCTGAGGATAAAACTGATAGATAGGCAGTATTGCTCCGTCACTGGAATAGTTTGGTTGTTGTTGGTAAATCAGCTTGACAGTGTAGCTATGTTGAGAACTAACAGTTAGTGAAAACCAGCATAAAAATAATTTTCATGAATGACTCCCTGCTTAAAAAAAAAAACAGCTAAACCCTACTTAAGCTGCCCTTAATTAACCATGTTTTTTTGGCGTATTGTTTACCATTTGTATAGCCACAGTTTTACAACAAATACCATGGTTAGTGTAGCATGGTTAATTTGTGGTTACCATGGTTTAGCTATAGTAACCATGGTTTTTGGTTTTATTTGTAGTAACCATGGTTTATTTTCGTGGTTGGCTGGTCATAGTTGGTCAACAGGCTGGTGTTAGAGGGGTTTTGTCGACTTATTTAGCTGATCAGGCTGGAGACCAGCTAACCCTGTTGAAAAAATCAGCAAAACATACCTAACCAGCATATGCTGTTTTTTTCAACAGGGAAAACGAGTTACTTCCAGCTTAAACCAGCTAAGACCAGCCAACCACCTTGTTTTAGCTGTTTTTTTCAGCAGGGGTGTACATATATATTATGTTTTGAACATTTTCATACACTCAGAACATAATATAGGATATACATCTGCGGTCATTCAAGGTCGCCAGCTCAACCAGATTGGCTGGTCTAGGCTCCGTTCAGCAGGAAAATCACTCCATTCAATAACCTGAAAACAAAACTAAAACAAACAAACATATCAGACCTTATACATTTTGAAATAAACCATGAATGCATTTTTTTCTAACTTTCTCCTATATTCTCCATATTATTTCCGGCTGAATTTTGATGGTTCTATTTGAAACCTTCGAACATAAAAAAAAAAAAAAATTGACTAGCATCTCTGAACATATTAGTATGAAAGTGGAAATCAACAGAAAATAAGAGCAAAGCTGGTAATGAATTAGTTCAGCATCGTCAACACACTCTCATGGCAGTTCTTAACTACTCAGCAGCACTTTGGTGAAATGGTGGCTAAATCTTATGAATTTGTACAATCTCATTCATACATTTTGTGGGGTGGACCTTCACGTTTATTTTTTGAATCATACATAAAAATCACATCATATGAATTCATTCTAAATCGACACCTGGTAAAATAGTTATGTTTTCTCATGAAATCAGTTTGGCATAGTTATTCTCTCATAGTTTATTACATTGTTCTGACATACATTACATTTTAACACTTTTAAATTAATTCATGCCACTAGATATTAAAGAGACTGATTTACTCACCCACCGTCACACATACGCCCGGTTACCTGAACAGGTGCATTCCTCTACAGGATGGTTCTAGAAGCTGTCAATGATTCTAGAACTCTACAGTAAACGCCCTTTCGCACAAGATGATGCTGATTGGCATCTTTATTAATACTTTGTAACAACCCAGGTACATTTTCCTTCTTTTAAGTATGGAATATTATTCTCACTCTTGATTGTTTTATTTACCTGATATTTACATGAGCTACAAGAAGCATGCAAACACTCCAGATGTTACCAGTGTTACATTACTTTTGGGAATTATTTTGAGAAGCAAACATGTACTGACCTGCTCTTCTGTTTGTTTGAATTTCTCCTATTCACTGTTGTTTCTATGTGTTTCTCCTCGAGTTGTTGACTGTAGCGTGCGGTGCCAACACCGGTTTCATGTGAGTCGTGTGTATGCCCTTCTACACTGCTATTATGCAGATCTCTCGTGAGATATCACGCCTCCAAACACATGCTGAACATGCCTTCATTGGATAGTCTGTCAGAGCAGCTTATAAAGGCTAGTGTTATTAGTGTAACTAGTGTTATTATTCACAAACTAGACTTGTGATGACTTTGCAAATTTACTAAAAGTGCAAAATGTATAACTTTAGGGGTACAACAGCTTGTCACTGGGGCAGTACCCTTAGGGGGACATCTTTGTACCTTCTTCACCTCATAGGTGCATATGATAAGAGTACATATTGCTACTGTGAGGGCTGGGAAATCCAGTCGAATACGTTTTCAACTACCCCTAGGTTGAAAATAGACAATAGTGCCCCGGTCCCCCTTGGTAGAAATCGCGGTGACCCCAAACAAACATTTTTGGAGAGACCTAAAAATGGCTGTCTGCTTGACAGTCCTGCATCCAACCAGCTTCAGAGGATCTGCATAGAAGAATGCCAGCAAATCCCAAAATCCAGGGGCCTCATTTATAAAGCATGCGTACGCTCAGATTTGATCTTAGAGTGTGCGTACGCTTAAATCCACGCCAACGCTCATATTTGTAAAAACTGCCGCTGACGTGGAAAAGTGCTTGGCGTCACGTCAGGGTCTGAGCAGATGTACACACTTTTTCTTGTCGGAGTACTGCAGGGTTTTGGAAATGTAAGCTGTTCTTGCAGCTCCCTGTTCTAAATTAAAGGATTTGGACGATGCTGGTGATTTTTTATATGTTAATGACATTAATTAGGAGTCGTTTACAAGGCAGAGAGAGCTGAAACAATTCAGTTGCGTGCAAGTTCAAGATCATTTGGGATTCAAAGATTTCACATCGGAAAGAGAGGCGCTTTCTGTGCGTATGTTCATTCTGTGAATCACATGTATACGCATATTTGAGAGATGATCGTAAGATCAAATTTAGGACGGTTTCTGCGCAACATTTTATAAATGAGGCCCCAGGAGTGCAAAGCTTGTCATATCAAATCAAGTACTTGAGTTAAGGGTCTGAATACTTATGCCAATGTGATCTTTCAGTTCTTCCTTTTTAATAAATTTGATAATCTGGTTTTTGCTTTGTTATTATTGGGTAGGTATGGAGTGTAGTTTGGTGTGGGAAAAAAATATTTTTTTAAATTTTAGCATAAAGCTGTCTGTCTTCCACAGAAATATTTCTGCACTTGGCACTTATATTACAAAGAACTTACAGTGCATTCAAGCTGTGTATTTGATCATGTCTCTCAGTAATCAGCCCCCTGAATCAGACATTGTTCTGCCAGTTGTGTTCCTAGAATCACAAGTTGATATATAGTATAAAATAAGTGTAAATTATATATTTGTGTGTTACGTATAAATCAAATTCATACAGGTAAATCAGTTAGACACAACGCTGCATCATTAGGAGATAGTGCCCATATTTACATGACATTACAGATGGAGGAATTGTAAGAAAATTCCAAATTGTTTCAAAATGTTTATAAACATCTGTTTTTACATTTCGTTCTTGAACTTTGTTGATTATCTTTTAATACTAAACAAGAAATTACACAGCATCATATGACACCCCTAATTTTTAGATTACATGTATGTTTTTGCCTTTTACTGGGATGCAAACTAATTTTAAAAAGTGAAATGTGAACTTTTAAAGCAAACGATTAGTTATGGGGGATTCAATAATGTAGAGATCAGTCTGGCACTGAGATTTTCTGCACATATTAAAAAACAGCAATCCCTTCTGTTTCCTGTAGGGGTCATTACAATGCTTTACCCTCCAGAGCCTTCGACTGCTGGCACAAATATAAAAGCTTTTAAGCCCTCTGCTGAAAAAATGTGACATCAGCTATTTGAAAACTTTTTAAACCCAGCAGAGATCAAATACACACTTGTCAATGGACGTTTCGTTTATTACAGCATGAATTCATGAACAGATGTGGTGAATAGCCTACATTACAGTACAGTAGAGACAGAGTTTGTGAATTATTAAGTGTCATATCAATATAATAATATTTGTTTAAAATACATTTTTATTTATTTTCTGACGTTTAAGAGGGACTAGATAGGCCTATGTCTGAATTACTGTAACTGTATTAATACAAAAAGAGAGAGAGAGAGATAGAGAGAGCCTTAAAGGAATATACTGTAAAATGTTTTATCAGTATGCAATAACTCTCTTTTCATTATAATAACTGATCATTTCTACTTAATTATAGTTTGTAAATTGACGTTATATTCTTCATTAGTAATTAAATTTGAAGTGGTCAGAAAAGTGGGCTCATGAAAAAGTATTGTTTACTAAAAAATGAAAAATCTGCAACAACTTTTTTTATTATTTTTTATTTTTTTATAGCCTACACAAACAGACATTTTGAATGCCAGTTACAATCATAATAAAAGGGGGCTGGAGCTTAAGACTTTCAGCAATGAAAAAAAGTACTATAAAAGTATTTATAAAAGTATAAATTCATGCTAAACATCTCCCTTTGTGTTCCAGAAACAGAAAATCATACCGTTTTGGAACATGATGGTATTCATTTCTTGAATCCACTATTATTCTTTCACAGTATCATTCACAGTGTAAGAGCTATGGATTATCAATACATGCTTGTCTTTTTATTCTTTCTTTGCTATAAAAAATATCATCATTTTAAAATCAATATATTTCCAAAGCCTGCCTCCTGTGTTCCTCAAACTATTTCTCCATCATCAGACTTCAAAATTGCTTTCTTTTCAGCATTTCTCTCCGCCACCCTCGCTCTCTCCCTCTCTTTCTCCCTGTAATACTCCTCTTTCAAGTTTTCCCTCTCTCTGCGCCTCCACCCTTTGGCGGTCACATGGTAGAGATCGACATTATTGCCCGAGTACGCGTCTCTGTAGGTGGCGCGGTACACGGCCTCCCTTGCGACCTCAGTGGCCTCCTGTACGCTCATTCCCCAGTAAACACTGCTGTCCAGGATCGAGTATGCATAGGGAGACCCCGAGCCCACAGAGAACAGCTCCCCCTGCAGGCGCAGACCGTCACTGCACACATAAATAACCCGTGGGCCGCATGTTCTCGAACGACTTCTGATGACTTGTTGAGAAGTAGCAGCTATCAATGGTTGAGGCGCTGAGGCAACACTTGCTGCTGATTGGCCGCTTGAATCGCTGGCTGTGATTTGATTGGTTGGAGTATTTGCATGTTGAGGCACTGAGGCTACAATTGCTACTGATTGGCCGCTTGAATCGCTGGCTGTGATTTGATTGGTTGGAGTATTTGCATGTTGAGGCACTGAGGCTACAATTGCTACTGATTGGCCGCTTGAATCGCTGGCTGTGATTTGATTGGTTGGAGTATTTGCATGTTGAGACGCTGAGGCTCCACTTGCTGCTGATTGGCCGCTTGAATTGCTGGCTGTCATTTGATTGGTTGGAGTATTTGCATGTTTCTCTGTAATTGGTTGCTCGTGTTTTTCGTCGTCCCCATCCCATCCACACAGTGTGGCTGCGACGCACAGCTCCGTGCCTTTGAATGGATGCAGCATGTGGGACAGCAGTTTGGCAGCGCCCCCTGTTGATAGCCTGCGGCGGTGTCGAAGCTGGTACAGCCTGAGCTCCCGAGCCAAAATGCGCTTCCAGAGTGCACAGTCAGCCGATGTCCCCGAGGTGGTGCCGACCAGGTGAGAGTGGATAGGTAAGACCTTCGGGGACGCGGGACAGGCCACCAGCCCCGAGCAGCTGGAACGCGTGTCGGCTGCGGCGATCACTCCTCCCTGGAACGCGAAGCCGAGAGTTGTGGTGCCGTGAGAGAGAGTGAACGGTAACGGAACGGAGGGAGAGACGGGGAAAGGTGTGGGTGGAGGAAGAGAAATGGACGGCAGAGAGGGGTGTAGGTGGTCTATTTCCAGTAACTTCGTCGGAGCTGAACTGAGGCTAGTTTGGCCAAAGTTTATTGGGCTCTCTGTGAGGTATTCAGCTATCGGCATGTAAAACTCCAGAGGACTCAAGCTGCCCCTCCCAGGCAGCCTTGTAGAAAAAGCTTCTCCGTGAATCCCCCCTCCGGACAGATGAGTGGAATCTTCCGGCATAAAGGACCGTGAGAGTGGAGCACTCCATTGAGGGAACAGAGGGGGGTTGTGCAAGTCGCATACATTTTGCAAAGCCATAAACTAATGTGTAGATACACAATAAATTGTAACTCTGTCAATTATTACACTGTATGACACGAACTGCAAAAACATGTCATATATGAGCTGTAAAGGGTTTCAGGTCATTTTTTTTCTTTATTCACCCTTGTCTCCTTATAGGGCTATGGGTCAGTTTGTTGGTAAAGAAGTCCTGGTTTACTTCAGAATTTGATTCCACTCTGCCTTCCTGGTGTTTATATCTTCTTGTGGTGGTGATTGGCTGTTGAAAGAAAAATAAAACATGCCGAGCCTCTTAGACCACCACGGTTCTTGATCCACACTTTATTCTTATGGAAAAGCAAAAGCAATGAGTACCATAGATCCAGAATAAAATATCCAATTCTCGATCCACTTGATGTCTGTATTCAGAGTTCAGTCTTAACCCACTAGTATCATAAGCTCAATAAATAACTACAGCTGTAAAGAGCCTATATCAAGGGCTGTTTATATAAGCACCATTCCCTGATTGACTTAACCAGAAACGCATGAAAATGCCAAAGTAAGCCTTTCAACCCAAGCTTGACGATTCATGCCATGAAATTTCATTTTCAAAGCATAGCATGTTTTGTGTTGTTGTGCTGTATTGCTACACTAATACTCAATCACCCATACAAAAAAATACAGTAGGCCTTACAGCATCATGCATAATGATATACTATAAATAGGGCTAAAATATTTTTCAAACATTTATAAAGTTACAAAAGATTTATATGACAAATAAATCAAACTATTTAACTTTTTTTACTGTATTATTTGACCAAATAAAAGCTTTGACGAGAGACTTATTTTAAAATTGAAATGATCCCAAACTCTTCAAAATTTGGACATTTTCACTTAGGGGTGTACTCACTTTTGTGGCCAGCGGTTTAGACATTAATGGCTGTGTGTTGAGTTATTTTGAGGAGACAGCAAATTTACACTGTTATACAAGCTGTACACTCACTACTTTACATTGTAGCAAAGTGTCATTTCTTCAGTGTTGTCACATGAAAAGATATAATAAAATATTTACAAAAATGTGAGGGGTGTACTCACTTCTGTAGCCTATTTTAACTTTGGCAACAGGACATTTTATATCATAAATGTTGTTTATTTAATTTTGATGTTTAATGTTATTGCTAGAAAATTGCAAGATTACACACATATTAGGATTGAAATTAATTTAAATAATTTAATCCTGCCAAAGCTTGTGTATTTTTCAGCAATACAAATTAAACATCACAATTAAATAGACAGCAATTCGAAAATATTATAATAATTAATAAAGTATTACAAATAAACTACATTAATAACGGAAAATACATTTATTTATTTTTATTGAACGTTTTGTTGTTTCACAAGGGTTCTTTGGACTTGAAAGGAAAATGAACGAAAAAATATAGTTTATGTGACATTTAGTTTGACCACCTCCAGTAATGGAAGAACAACTCTCGCTGAAGCTTAACCTTCTTTCTGTCACTCAACATTTCTTGGAAAAGGGAAAGCCATGACGTCCGGCGTTCTGAACGGGCATAGCGTTCTGTTGAGTCGCGTCGCGTCGCTGCAGAGCAGATGAGCTGAGTCCACGCATAATGAGAGAGAGGCGTATACAGTGACACACTAACACACCTGTCATTCTCACACAGACACACACACACACACACACGGAATAGGGCGATTACACACACACACACACACACGCACACTCCTGCATCGAAGAGAAAGTGGATTGGAGATGTGGTCATTCGTTGAAAGTGCGACATTGTTTTGTATTGTTCTTTTAGATTGTTTGAATAAACCTGCTTTTGAAGCAACCTTTATGAGGTGGCTGCTGTGCTGTTTTTGCTTCTTTTGTCTGACTGTTGTTACAACTTACCCCAGTATGTGTTACAACCCCGGTAGCGGGGTATATAGTAACAAAGGCACTCCATGTATTTGACATCAACATATAAGGGCTGTGATATTTTTGCAGAGGTTTGAATTGGTGCCTTCTGTAGTGAACAAATGTGAGTGCTTTGTATAAAAGTTTGGAAGTGAAATATGATCCTAGCTTTTCAGTCCAGCATCAAGCCAATTCGTGAGTCATATTTGCTGTCTAAATGTAAAATACATAGAATACAGCCTAATCTAATCTTTCATACTGGAAATTTGAAATGTGGGTCTGTCTCTCTGAAGGTTTGGTGCGAGTCTCCTGATGCTGATGGGACTCATCATGGAGACTTTGTGCGGTTTGGAAATGTTCTTGACAGCGTGATGGACAAATGTATTGTACACGTGCAGTATAACTGCTCTGCTGCCTGTCGAATCGGGGTCGAAATTGTCATTTCTACCCCAAGAAGGACAGGAGTGATAGTCTACAGAAGGACCTGGGCTAACCATAAGAGATTTGGAAAACCCAGATCCAGAATGGTTCATCTAGTGTTTCCTCCAGCTGTGCTGTACCGGAGAGACTTTTTTGTCAGGCGACCACTGGAGATGTGCAATGTGGTGCTGAGAGCCTGGATGGTTCATCTATTTGAAAATGAAATTGGTGGCAACCATGATAAAGGATATGACCAATCTCTTGCGAGAACTTCGACGTCTTTGAGGACACTTCCACTCTCTGAGCGTCCAGCATATCCACAGACAAGTTCGGTCTCATGGGGCGCATGGCTGATGTGGCAGCTGACCAAAGATACTGTGAGGAAATGTCCACATGAGTCAGGTGGGAACAGAATGCTCTAGATTTTTTCCACATACACTCTTAAAAATAAAGGTGCTTCAAAAGGTTCTTCAAGCGATGCCATAGAAGAACCATTTTTGGTTCCACAAAGAACCATTCAGTCAAAGGTTCTTTAAAGAACCATCTCTTTCTTACCTTTTTGTAATCTGAAGAACCTTCTTTCGCCACAAAGAACCTTTTGTCAAACAGAAAGGTTCTTCCGATGTTAAAGGTTCTTTATGGAACCATTTAGACAAAAAGGTTCTTCTATGGCATCGTGAAGCACCTTTATTTTTAAGAGTGTATGGAAGACAAAAAGTCATTACTTACTGAAAATCTTATTCACAATCATGTTCAGATTCCTACATGACTCCTCACACTAGGTTTCTCATCAATGATGCCAAATCACCACTGGTTCTCATGTATGCTGTAACCAAATATGATATATCAGTTTAAATAAATAAGATGGAGAACAATATTTGACATGACATGCTGTCGAGCAAAAATGAGAAAACTAGTTTAGGTTGTTTGAAGATACTGTACTGTCTTGATTTACAAGGTGCATCAATGGCTAATTATACTTCTACATTTATTTGTTTGCTCCCTCACTTTGAATGGGCATGACGCCTCTGACCATAGCCACCACTCAGAACACCCTAGCAATGCACCTAGAGACCACAAAGAGCACCCTAGCAACCTTCTAGTCATTACTCAGAATACCTTAGAAATAACACCTTGACAGTCACAGTTAATGTAGCGTGATAGATCGCTGTAGATACCTCAGATCAAGTGAAGGGCAGCACACATGAACTGATCATCTCTTTCGCTTTACTAGTTGGTACTCGCCTGTGGGTAAGCAAAGACTGGTGAAAGTTTTATTTTTTTTCTGAAGGCTGACGATCCCAAACCTTAGCAACACCCTAGTTGTCAGTTACAAACCTTAGCAACACCCTAGTCATCAGTTATAAAACCTTAGCAACACCCTAGTTGTCAGTTACAAAACCAAGCAAACACCCTAGTCATCAGTTATAAAACCTTAGCAACACCCTAGTCGTCAGTCACAAAACCTTATCAACACTTTAGTTGTCACGCTGAATACCTTAGCAACCAGTAAAGCAATACTTTGAGGACACTACCACTCTCTGAGCATCCAGCATATCCACAGACAAGATCGGTCTCATGGGGTGCGTGGCTGATGTGGCAGCTGACTAAAGATACTGTGAAAGATACCAAAGATACTGTGAAAGATACTTAGCAAGACCCTAGCTGTCACTCACAAAACCTTATCAACACCCTAGTCTTCAGTCAGAAAACCTTAGCAACACCCTAGTTGTCACTCACAAAACCTTATCAACACCCTAGTTGTCACTCTGAATACCTTAGCATCACCCGAGTTTTCAGTCAGAAAACCTTAGCAACACCCTAGTCGTCAGTCAGAAAACCTTAGCATCACCCTAGTCGTCAGTCAGAAAACCTTAGCAACACCCTAGTTGTCACTCTGAATACCTTAGCATCACCCTAGTCGTCAGTCAGAAAACCTTAGCATCACCCTAGTCGTCAGTCAGAAAACCTTAGCAACAACATAGTCGTCAGTCAGAAAACCTTAGCAACACCCTAGGCGTCAGTCAGAAAACCTTAGCAACCCCCTAGTTGTCACTCTGAATACCTTAGCATCACCCTAGTCGTCAGTCAGAAAACCTTAGCAACACCCTAGTCGTCAGTCAGAAAACCTTAGCAACACCCTAGTTGTCACTCTGAATACCTTAGCAACACTCTGAATTCAGAACACCATAATAATGGCTTTGCAAATACCAGGACAGCTATAGAGCCTCTACATGAACTCTAACACTCTGGTTTTACAGTGGAAATGTCAAATTTGAGTTGTATTCTCTCAGGTGTAATATAAGATAACATAACTAGCATTACTGTACTGAAGTGCTGATGTGCTAATGATAATCTTGAAATGCTAGAGATGTTGTGTGTGAAGCTCCCATCATCTGCTCTCTGCAGGGTGACTCTGTCAGTGTGGCTGTACTTGCTGAGCTGGTGCAGCCAGTCATTGTGTGGCATAGTCAAGCATGTTAATGAATACAGGAACTATGGGAGTCCACTTATTATGCTGTCTGACACAGGTAAGCCAGTCAGGGCGCATTCCATTGTGTGACATCACTGCAAGAAAAAAACTCAAGCAAGTTTAAAGGAATAGTTCAGCCACGTCTGG